AGGGTATATGTCGCATCAGGTAGCGAGCCTTCCTCGAGAACACCCTCTTCACAAGCACAAAATAAAATAAAACATAAAAATTAAATCGCCTTAGCGTTATTGGTCCCCTCACTCCTCCCATCGCGGTCCTCCAAAGGATCAAAAGTAGAGAACAGGGCCGCACATAAATATGTTATTCTTATCAGGATATAAGGGCGCATGTATTCACTAAGGCAGTCAGCCCTCTCGCGAAAATCATTTGCACAAGCCCAAAAAAACCAACAATAAAAAAGTCGAAAAGCATGCAAATAGTCGCCTGGGCCGCTGGCCGGATCCTGGAATTAAATGTAAACAAAATACGAGAATGAGAAGGGGGTAAATAAAAAGGCAGTGGGATCGCCACTTCCTCAATGTCTGCTCCAATTAAATAAATTTATGTATTCTGATGGCCACCCTCGTGGCACGTTACGCCTTGTTAGAATTAAAACATTTATTACTTAAGGCGTGCTGGATTTGGGGGACTTCCGGTTTCAAGAGCGCCCTTACCTTCGCGGCCCGCAGGTCAAATTTTGGCGGCCTAACATTGCAGGCCTCTCGTCCGTGAAAAAGATTGCGTTTGCCGCGGGATGTGGGGAGTATCGATCTGAAGTCGTTTTCTCCAGGATACCAACAATTGTAGCGACGTAGCGGGGAAAAGTTTCTGGAAATAATGACCGCCTTCGGACCTCACTGGGCGCGGTGGTGGCGTTGCCGTTCTGGCGCGCCACTCTCTACAGTGCGAGCGCCTGTCGCTCCCTGGCACTGACCTCCTGGAGACCATTGCTGTCCGTGTATTTCCACCGGGCTGTCGCAGCATTTGCGTGGCGAATCTCTACAACCCTCCCACAGTAACTGTTCAAGAATCCGCATTTATCAATGTCGTTTTTCGCTTGTGCCCGAAGAGATTATCGCGGGCGACCTGAATTTACATCGTGAACTCTGGGACAGTCATATACACCATCAAGGACTGGAGGCGATAATTTCGCCGCTGTTCTAATCGATATGGATTTCGGGCAGGCAAATTACCCGGCGCAGGCAACACGGATCACACATTGTAATGCCTCGTCGCCTGATGTGACTGCGTATTGCGCCCTACGCATCTCCCTCTGGACATTCGCCCCTTACATGGACTCGGACCACTGCTTAATATCTTACTTGGTAGAGATGGACGATGGCACTCCACGACTAGCAAACACGCTGCCTTGACGGAAGAAAGCCACCTTCGCCCTGCGTAAAGCGGATCGGCCTGCTTCCACCTCGTTGTGTGAAATCCTCCTCGCCACCGCGTCCACATGGTTGGGCATTCGCGGAGGCATCTTACGAGCAGCCGAGAGCCACATCCCGCGCGGCAGCCGTGACAGCTCCAAAAAGATATGGACACACGAAATGGAACAGGCCGAGCCCGCCGCCGAGGCAGCACACGAAGCACACACATTGCCTCACCTGGAGACAGCCTATCTCGAGCCGAATTCACCCGAAAAAGGGGAGGAACGAAATCAAGCCTTACGCCGTTGCTCCGCTGTGCTTCTGGAAGCCCGCGCGAGAAGACTTGGAGCCTCATCCAGCCCGAGGTGGCGATATCTTCACGGCGTGGCGGCGCCGCACCCTCATCCTTTGGAATCGGTTGTGCTCCGCACTGATCTTGGCCGCGTATGCGCCCTGCCTCGGCAACAGGCAAATCTGCTTGTCCGTCATTTTGTGCGGTTTCACGTGCCGTACCGCCTTATACTGCTGCTGTTTGCTGCACTCCTTTGGTTCCTGGTGGCTGGGAAATGGATCGGCCTTTCCGCCGTATGAACTTGACGTGGCCATCCGTGACTCTTTGCTTGGCTCAGCCCCGGCGATATGTTGAATGAATTCCTGCACCGTCTCGGGCCCGTTGCGCGCGGCACTCTTAGAACGATGATCCACAACTCCTTCGCAAATGGCAGCCTGCCTGGCTCCTGGAAAATGGGAGACACTATTTCTATCCCCAAGCCTGGGAAGGATCCATGCCGCCCAGAGAGTTACAGACCTATCACGCTACTCTCTGTTTTACCAAAGTTAGCCGAAGGAATGATTCACCGCCGTCTGTCAGCGACATTGCCGCACCACCCACGTCAATTTCGGATTTGCACCTCCGCGTTCTACGTCGGACGTGGTTGCACTTGTTGTCGACAAATTACCCGTGGATTGAATGAGTTTGGCATTGTGGAGCATGAGCGCCCTGGAGACGACGCCCTCACACGACGCCCTCGTCGCCATCGCTTGTGGTCTCGATTGATTTTCCGACTGCGTTCGACACCACTGACCATGGGAATTTATTCGGCATGCTTGACAGACTTCCGCGCCTTGGCCTCGAACCAAACGCTGGCTGCACAACTACCTGCGGGGCCGCTATGTTAGGGTATGCACTCGTGAACAGCACTCCCGGAAACAACTCGCCTCAGCTGGAGCACCGCAAGGCGGCGTCCCGGGACCCCAACTCTTCCTCTACTGTGTGGATGGTCTGCTGCGCCGCCTGGGCAACATATATTCTGCCGCCGCATTCATGTACGCTGACGAACACACACTTGTTGCCTCAGGTGCGGACATCCATGCCTGTGCTGCGGCAATGCGACCGCTCTTGTCTCTTGTGGCCACATGGGCTGCCGAGCACAGCCTAAAAATCAACGTCGCTAAGAGCGAAGCTGCTCTATTCTACATCTCTTCACACACACACGGTCTGACGAGGACATGGTCGATCTCCATCTTGTTAGCGGGAACCTACGTATTCAGTCACGCCCAGTGCGCTTGCTGGGCACCATGTTCGATCGACTTCTTAATTTTGTTACGCACGCTTCCACCGCTGCAAAGAGGGCCATGCCACGCCGCTATCAGCTGCGTCTGGTCGCGGAGGCGGGCGCGTCCCATCACACCACGCGATCCTTTTTGATTGGAGGCGTTCACAGTGTGCTATTTCATAATGGCGAGGCAATTGTCCCGTGACTCGCCCCCACTCACCTCCATAATATGGAAGTACGGTGCCGCGACGGTAGCAAAACATTCTTGGCCTGAGCGCCTCTACGGAAGACACATTTGTCTGTTTGGAAGCCAATATTCTTCCGCTCCGGAAGATACTCTGGCGTCGTGCACTCACACAATACGAACGCTGTATACGCCTCCATGATCACGAGGATTTGCGTTCCCTTATCTACTCGCAACCTATGCCGCCGTCCATGCATGGGAAAGCGGTGACATCAATCCGCTTCCGAAAGATGCTGTTATTAATGGATTGCTACGCGTCTGTGACATTATTGGGACACCCCACAACCACATTTGCGCGCCTCTTGCCCAACATCGAATTTTCCCCTGGGACACTGTGATCTGCAACAAAGTGAGATTTTATCAGCGACTCTTTGCCAACGACGCCTCTGACTATGTCAGGCGCACGGCTTTTTATTCTACTCACTCCTCTTTGGGGGATTGTGATTTTGAATTGTGGACAGACGGTCCTTCATATCTCGCTGCCCTCGCATCTGGATCCGCTGCGCTATTATATGACTCCACCACGACAAATGATCTCCCTGTGGAGGTACATCGTGCAGCATCTGGCAGCCTCGCATGCTCATACAGGGCGGACAGCCTTGCGATCGAAAATGCTTTTAGACATCTCGTACCTCCTTGTCTGGGAACATCCCAATCGCCCACACGAATGCTGGAGGAAACGGACTCCCTCTCGGCAATGGAGGCACCCCGCGTTGCCCACCGACCGTGCGAGACCGCGTTACTGAGTAAATTTGGATTATGCTGCTTTCCTTGGTGGAGCGAGGTCACCCTGTAGATTTTATATTTTCCCCTCACACTGCGGTATTCCACGCAATGAGGCCGCTGGCAAACAAGCCACGATTACACGATCTCTCCCGCAATGAGGCATACCAATCTGGCACTTGGACTTTTTTACTGCAGTCAGATGACCGTACTGGAGGGATGTCCAGGAGGAAAAGAAAGGCGCGCAGACCGCGTGACAGGCGCTCGTCGGTGTGGCAAGGACTCTATTCCTGGTGTTGACCCGGACATCGTGCCCCGAGTGGCGGCACTGCGCACAGGCGCGATGCGACTCCTGCCCGCTCTTCGACAGGCCTGCACGCGCCCTGCGGATCACAAGCAACCCATTATGTCGGTGGTGCCGTTTATTCCTCACACTCAAGAGGAAGGACTGCTCCGACCTCCTCCGGAACCTCCGCCTGGCGTGTCTGCGGCACTTCCTCGGAGAAAGACGAGCAGCAGGTCAGCGTCGTCCTGCCCAAGCTGCGGCAGCGTCTTCTCTTCCGCAGTATGAGGGCACATGCCGGACGTGCTCAGCCTGGCGTTATAATTAGTTTGCGAGGGCCTCCCATGCGGATGCCACAATGGCGCCACCGTCTTCTTAGCAGGCGCCTCGCGCGCAGTTCGCCACCGAAGCAGCCAAGCATGCCAGTAGGCAAGGCACGCAGGAAGCACAAACGCGGGAACTCGAGATGGACCAGGCTCTTCCGCCACCGCCTCATCACAGACGCCGCGGGCTGCTGATCCCCCGACGGACCACGGGAGACCCTGCCGCACACGCTGTGGGAAAGCCCCCAACCTAACCAATGAGCATTCGACTATTTGGAGAAAATCCATGTCGCACGACAGCGTTATTCGGGACGGGAGAGTCGGCCGCGTTTCTCCGGACAGCTCTCGGGCGATCAATGAATATTGACCATTTTGTATAGCGAAAAAAAGAATTTGTGCAGTGTCGATTTGATTGATTTTCTCTAATTTTCAGTTGTGAGTTCCCTTTTTTTTGGTGTTTACGGGGTTGCCCGAATATTTGTTCAAACTAGGAGTAAGAGAAAACTTTTTTTTCTCTGCGGAATTGGGATTTAATATATATATATATATATATAATTTGCCGGTATTTTTTTGTCGGGTATTGTGTTGTTTTTTATATTTTTCAAATTGAAATGAATGTTGAGTTTGTTTCTTCAACTATGGCTATTAATGTTATTATATTTGTACGTAGTTGCTGCTTTTCTATTATGCTTCTTTTGATTTTCTTTCTGGGTTGTGGAAAAAGAGTATTAATTCCTATTTCTTGAGTTTTCAATTCGACATGTCAAAGACGCAGAATGGAGTGGGTAATGATCCACAGCTTCAAGCGGTCAACGCATTTACAGAGGCTCAGTCACTACTCGATATAATGCTGAAGAATTTCTATTCAGTGGAACGACAAGCGGCGGATCCATTTTTGCTTAGAGTCGTTATAGCTGGTAAAAAGAAGGAAAGTGCTGGTCGTTCTGTTGGATCGCTTCTGCCGGAACTTTTGAATGTAGCTGTGAATACAAGTGAGAATCCTTTATGTGAGGATAACGAAAAGTCCGCAAAAAATTTTGCTGTGCTTGTTGAGTATGATGATTATTTTATTGAACTTATTGAAGGATTTGAAAGGCATATTATCAATTTTCTAAAGCTTTTAGAAAAGCACTGCTCACAGAAAGAAGATATTATTTGCTATGATGTACGGCTGTTGTATTTGGTTGATGATGTCCCGTCACCAATAGCATCCTTTTTTGTGCACATCGACAAAGTGCCTGCTATGAGTACAGAGGGTGAGCCTCAGGATAGTACGGATGAAGAGATTGCCGATACGATTGCAGAGGATGTTAATAATCTGATGAAGCTTTTGAATATGGTGGCAGATGAACCAAGTACCAAACGCAAGCTATTCTTGGATAACCTTAGAGTGACTCATCCCCTACTTTTTCCCCGAAAATCAATGATAAAAAAGTATCTGGAAAGCGACATTTTTTTTACGCTTTCGGAGTATATTGACGTCTATGGAAAAATATCAGGATTTACCAGAGATATTGAGTTAAATCATCCTGTTGTAGATTCATTAAAATGTTGATGGTGTGTGTATTTTTGTGCTTCTGGCCCATGATTTGATTTAAAAAGATATGTAAATAAATATGCATTTGGTGTTTCATTGGCCAGGTGGTTTTTAGTAATAATCTGTAGAGAGATTTGTTGATGTTTTTACATTGCAAATTGTTTAAATTTCGACTTTTGTTAATATTACCTTTATTTATTTATTTTTTACGTTTTGCCCTTTTTTCCGCATTGAAAAGCGGGGGTGCAGATAGAATGCCATCAAAACGGGCCGCAAGGGTTCAAAAGCTTCACGAAGGAACAGGGGATGACAATCTTCCAGTTTTTTCTATTTTTATTGAGAAGGAAGGAGAGGGTCAATATGGCCGAATTGATATAGAGATTTTTGTGAATAAGGTTCCCAAATCTTGCGAGATTTTTTTGCACAGTTGTCCAGCCGCATTAACTGGGGATAAAAGAGTTAGTAAACTAAGCTTGGTCAGACAACACCGTTTTCTTCGTCTTACTAACGAAGGCCTTCAAGTAGGTGAACGTCCGGTATCCCGGTTGGTTTCCCTCTCTGATATTGAGAATGAAATAGGACGTGTAAATCACGGAATTGGAGTTGTTTCACTCTGTCGCTCATCTAATACTTTTGATGAGTCCTTTTTTTTTTGTCTAACTGATAATCGTACTGAACTTGAATCTTTAGACAAAAGGCATACCGCGTTTGGAAGAGTGGTTTATGGGTTGGAGTTGCTCTTTCTAATACGAGATGCTCTCATACCCTATGTAAAAGAAGGTTGTGTCATTGAGGGAAGCCCTTATGCAATTTCAGATATTTTACCGAAGGCAGCTACGTAGGCTTACCTCCGTTTTTTTTTTTTTCTATTTTTCCACATTATTTCCTTTAATTTTATTTTAATATAATGTCTATTTTGGGAGAAAAATGAGTTTTGTACATGTTATTTATCTTGTGGGTTTAAAAGGATTATCAGAAACATTTGTTATATTTGCATTTTTTTCCACCTTTTTCCTCTTTCTCTCTCTCTGTGTGTGTTTGTGTAATCCTCTTTTTTTTTTTTTTGTAATGCTATTTTACTGTGTTAAATAAATAAATAAATAAATAAATAAATAAGTAAATAAATAAATAAATAAATATATATATATATAAATATATATATTTGGCCGATAAAACTATGAGCCATAATGGTCTAGTTAGCGAAAGTGTGGTAGCAGCCCTAAGTATGGAGCTTATTTCTTATGTCGTTGTGCGCCACACTTTTCGTGGAGAAGATAGTTTAATTGACAACTCGGGAAATGAAATTGAATTAAATATTCATAAAGGTCTTGAAGGTTTGGGACTGTTGGTAGGTCTACGCTTGTCCGAGCGACTTCTATATCGTCAGCCATCTTTTGGTGAGTGGACACCACCGGGTGTATCGCAATTTGTTGCCCGGCAGTTTTGGAAGACTGCTTTTGGGAAAAGAATTGATAGATTGATGCATATGAATGACATTTATTTTTGTCTTATTGACAAAAACTTTCGATGGCTTCAGGGCTTCCCCAAGATGAGAGGCGAGCGCATAGTTTCCACGACGGTGTTATCACCTTATGGTTATTCCGAGGAAACGGTAGCCGAGGATGAGGGTGCCTCACCTCGAACTGAACGGCTGGGAAGTGTACCAATTCACAAGGACGTTTTGATTTATACAGTTGGAATATTGAAAGGTCTTATCCGTGTCATGTATCCTACAGGATCTATTGAAATTCATGCTAACCTGAACAATGAAAACGAAACCCAGTTTGTGCTTGATTTTAGATCTCCCACTGCATGAATTGGCATTAGGGAGTTTATTATAAATACAAATAACGTGAAAGACAGAGATGGTGAGACCACAATGAGGCTTTCAACAAAAAGCAAATAGCTGAATTGATTTTGGAACTGGCGTTCAGCCTTTTCTTTTTCTTTGTTTTTTTTCCCATTGTTGCATTTATTTATTAAGAAAAGGTTAATATGCTCCGCTCATATGGAAAGCGCTTCTCGGCGTACGGTCATATGCAGGTTCGCCACTTTACTTCCCTTCAAGTTGAAAAGCCGTGCGCCACGCTTGCAGAGAAGATAGTTCGAGGTAAGGAATGCACGGTATTTTACCGACATCCTGTTTACGTTATGTCTCGAGAGAAAATGTTGAATACGATATGGATTGACTGCGGGATTTTCAGTCTTTCTTGGAAGGCATTATTGCCATACTTTGTTCTTGCTTGTTTCTTCAAGGCATAGTAGAAGAAATGAAAATTGTAGGAGAAAGATGGTAAAAAAAAAAAGAATTATTGGGACAGTTTTTTTTTCTCCCCCTTTCGTTTTTGGATAAATATCACTATGGCGCGTCTCAAAATCTCATTATGGTTATTATTATTATTATTACTATTATTATTATTATTATTATTATTATTATTATTATTATTATTATTATTATTATTATTATTATTATTATTATTATTATTATTATTATTATTATTATTATTATTATTATTATTGACTTGCCATTTGCTTTGCTTTTTTTTTTAGGCGAATTAGAAAGATGCGGTATTCTCGCATCCACTTATTGAAGTTTCTTGATACATTCTACCCATTGCCCTCTGTTATGGATGCTTGTTCTTTTGTCAAACTTGTTCGTAAACGAACCAGTAGACTTGCTGAGTTTTTGGAAAAAGAGGTTTTAGCTTCCAATGCTAATCAGCGTTCCAGGTCCTTTGATGCAAAAGTACATGTTGATATTGCTAAATCATTGGATTCGCTTTTAAGTCTAAAGGAGAAAGATGTGGAACGTGTGATCTGGGAGGAACACAAGCTCACTGACGAACGATTGTTGACTTGTCTTGTACCTTATCAGATGGCAGCAAATATTATCATGAGAGGACTTCCCCAAAATGTGAGAAAAATGTGTGTGGAAGAACTAAGAGATGAAGAAGATTATTATTTAAAGGGTATCACAAAAAAAGGACATAATAAATTTATACAGTGGATCGAGAGGGATGTATTTGTCTCCACCGGACTTAATTATCTTAGACGTCTTTCTCCTCTCCGACATGCTCGTATTCCGGTTATCGCAGTTATGGGACACAGCCAACATGGAAAGACAACACTTCTTGATGTCTTACAAAAAACAAGTTTTTCTGAAGAAGAGTCTAGGGGCACATCCCAGTCTATTCGAGCTTTCACGATTTCTGCCTCTGAAAGTGGCTTCAGTTCTGTAACATTTGTGGATACACCTGGCCAACGCGTATTTACAGAGACACGTTTTCATGCACAGATTATAGCAGATGCCTTACTTTTAGTAGTTTCTTTGGTAGATGGCGTTCAAATTCAGACTCTTGAAGTGATCAAAGTGGCATTAAACATTGATAAACCGATTTTGGTGGTATTAAATAAGCTGGATCTATATTCGGATCCGAGAAAGGCAGATGAAGCTATGTTTAATGTCCTCATGGACTTGCGAGAGGCTGGATTGAATGTTGTTATGGTTCATAAACCGAAAGATATTGAACGACTACGAGCCTGTGAATCAAGCACAAAATTGGATGCTCAGTCTTCAAAAGAGGTTCAAAATACTCTTCAATTATTTGCACCGATGAAAAAAGTGGATGCTCAATATAAGGGAAGCAAAACGCATCCGGTTGTGAATTTGAAGCGAAGTTGCGCCGGGGTCTGTATATCAGCGAAGAAAAGAGAGAATTTGGATCTTCTTTGGTCACTCATTGAACTAATGTCTTCAACGTTATCACCGTTTTGTCACAGCAGAATGGGGAACTACACTTCACATTCTTGCTCACATCAGGCTGTTATCTTGGAATCTTCAAAACATCTATTTGATGAAGAGAGTTTTCGACTTAGGAAGAACGTTCAAAGGCTTCAAAAAAGACAGGATGCGACCAACGAAAGGCAAAAATTACGGTTGGAAAAAAACAGCGTTTCTGCAAGGATCCATTCTGCTCTCAACAATGACCGAAAAAAATTACAGAGTTCAAATCCAACAAGTACAAACTGTCTTGTTCTGACTGTTATCGTGAGGGAAGGTTGTATTACAAAAGGTCTGCTATTTGTTGCGGACCAAACGAGAGGGCGTGTGGATTATATGATAGACGCTGCTGGTAATTTTGTGGACAAAGCGTATCCTGGTACGGCTGTTATTATCATTGATGTTCATAGTAATACCGGATGTCCTGGTGTAGGAACGCATCTTCTCTCAATGCCTTTTGTGGATGAAAGAGATCGAGTTTTTGAATACAGGCGTTGGCTTCAGTGGTTTATCGAATGTTTCCCCAATCGTTTAAATCTTCTTCGTCCGAGAGGGATGGACGTATCCTTTGCACACCTTGGTGATTATGGGCAAATTGGGAATACACATTGTTTGGAGTATCAGTTGCTTTATGGACCCCCACAAGATGCGTTCTCAACTGGGATTAACTCACAATCCACAGAAGAAGAATTATCAATTAATGGTTCTAAGCCTCTTGAGAAGAGTATTGCTGAGTATTTATCGGAGAAAAATCTGGAGGACCGAGAGCGCCATAATGGGTCTCCGTTGGAAGATGGATCTCATCAAAAAATTTTAATGGAAGATGATCTTGAGGTTACATTACAAACTACATGGACACAGTTACAGCCACGCAAAAGACCTGAGACCCAAGAGATGCATGATGAAATGATTAAGAGCTGTATTCAGATTGGTGTTCTTTTCAAGGTGGACTCCTGGCACAGCGCTCGAATGTTACATCGTGAAATCAATCGGTTGGGTACGCGGAAAGTGGCGTTTCATGTTGTTGGAATGCGCTTTGGTGAGTTAACGGCAGATGACATTATGTTTTTTGGACGAGCAATGAAAATTGCCGTTTGCTATCGTACTCCTTTGGGGCTTTCCACCGATCTTGATCAATACCTTGAGATCAATGACACCTGGGTCTTACAGACGGATGATATTACGGAAGTCATACTCTTCCTTAAATGGTGTGCGGTGGCGCTCCATAAGGAGCATGCTCCCGATGACTATGGTGTGACTGAACGGAGCCATAAAAGCTACCTGGTGCTCATGAAGGATAAATCTGGAAAGAGCCCTGGAAAGAAAATGGACCAGCAAAAGAACTCCAGGCATCGCAGGTTGCTTGTTACACCAAATTTTTAGCACTCAAATTTGTAAATTATACTGAACGCTGTTTCTATTACGGGGTCTTGCTCGCTTTGCCCCTTCCCCCCTCCTTGATTTCCATTGCTTTACAGAATTTTGGGATAAACAGAGTACAAAATTGATATTATTATTATTATTATTATTATTGTTATTATAGTGCTGTCTATTGTCGCACCGTCCAAATGTGTTTTATTGAGAGTTCATTTTTTTACTTGCATTTTTTCTTGCTTTGTGTTCTTTTGACATGATCCTGTTACAACAAAAATTTCTTTTTTAAATTTCCTTTTTCTTTTTGCTTTATCCATTCTTTTGAGTGCGAGACAGGCGTGAAAAGCAAGGGAAGTGCAATGGATACGGCGGAGGATGGTGACTATCTGCAATTTGCGACCAAACTGTACGCCGCCTCAAAGCCCTTTCTTGCAATTAAAGCCTATGAGCGTGCTGTCTCTGAGGTGGAGGCTGCTGCTGCTGCTACCTCGGACCCAAAGCCTTTGCCAGGAAACAAATTGGGATCGGGGAATGCACTTTTCAAGGACTTCATATTACACTGTAACGCGTTTGGCGTTAAAGCCGCTACGAGCGACACCAAAATGGCGGGGGATTTCTTGCGTCTTGGCTTCAAGGAGCTGCAAAGGCGAAATTATTTACAAGGGGATCTGGATGCCAATGACCCTAGTCAGTTTTTCATACCTATTCAGGAGGATAGGGGTATTGCCTTTCTTGTATCACTGATCTTGAGCAACTGGGCGTGCCTATTACTACGATCAGGAAACACAAGAGAAGCCGCAGCTTTTCTTCAATTGGCACTCACCAATTCTATGGCAGAAGAGCTGACCCGTGTTGTTCTTCTTAACATATGTGCAGTTGACGTACACAATTGTCTCTTTTCCCAGGTGCGAGAAAATGCAATGGAGGCGCTTTTTGAGGACGGAGAAACTGAAGAAGAGGGACAAGAAAAGATGGATAAAGATAATGCTGCCCGTGAAGATGTAAATGGACTTCTTTGCGCGTTTGCATATCATAATGTGGCCATCGCTGAGGAATACCTTCAACCACAAGAAGCTGAAAGCCACTATAACAAAGGGAAGGAAATGTTGGCTTCAAGCCCGTACCAACGATGGTCAAGCGTCATTGAGTGTGCTCGAAGGAGATTTCTTGATATTGTTCAACGTCGAAGATATGAAGCGACAAGACGAAGAGAAGCCGCCGAGGCGGAGATGGAGGCCGCCAAACAGGTGGAAGCAACCGTTCGACGAAAAGTTAGGGCAACTTGGAGTGCAACGGCGCGACAGCCGTCAGCGAAGCCTGGGAATCGTGGCAAGAAGTATAAAAAACGGATCTCAGGTTTGACCAATGATACAAAGGACGAGTCTATAGAGCTTCCTCCCATAAGTGAATATTTGAGGCAGAAAATGCAAACACAAGGTCTAAGCAATGTCGTGGTTCCAATTCTTCGTGTAGTAGATGTGAGGAAGTTTGTCTTTGGGGGAATTCCGGCTCATGAAGACTCCTTCTTTCCTTTCAGGGAAAGTGTAAATTTAAACAATGTGGCTATGGTCTTGTTATGCGAAGAAACACCTTTGCAGGTTGTGGATGAGGCAGAGTTAAAAGATACAGGGCCTCCGAGAAAGACTATTTGGACTCCGTTTGTCCCGAGGCGGGATGACACTCTCATTATAGTGCCCCCGAAACCCAAGCCAGGTGCCGTGCTTTCTCGAGATGCGGCAAACATTGCTAAATCATTTATGCCGCCACCGTTATCGGAGAAGTCAATTGAAAATGCGCAGCGCAGTGTTACGGCATTTAAGAAAATTTTGAATCATCGTTTACTGATGCTTTTACGAGCCGAAAATGCATTTGAAGAAAAGTGGAAAGCCACGGGAATAGTAAAGAGAGCCCTTGTCGCATTCAACCTTGCGCAGGATATGTTGAAATTGAAGGAGACTATAAAGTGGAAGAGGGAAACAAGAGCAATTTTGGAGAATGCAAGTGCGAGGCGAATAGTGCGCTTTTTTCGATTAATAATCGAAAGGAAATCCAATTCCGCTCCTATAATGAGAGAAGCTCGTGTTAAATACTTTGAAGAAAAAGCTGCAATTGCCCTGCAGAAGTACGCAAGGCGCTGGTTGGCGGTTAAAGAATTACGAATTCTCCAAAGGCAACGTCGAGCAGAAATATTACGTGTCATGAAGATCCAGAGCACCTATCGTATGCATGCCACACGAAGTCGTTATATTGCCTATAAAGAAGAACAAAATGAAGCATTGAGATTTGAAAAGGAGACGGTGGCGCGTGAATTTGCGGCCATACAGATTCAGTGTGCGTATCGGCGTCATGCGTATCGGCTCCGTAGGTGGTATGAAGGAGGAGAAAAAAGACAATTTATACTTCACCACTTCAGATCCTCGAGGGAATACTACGCGACGCTGATCCAAAAAACGTTTCGTGGGTTTTTGGTGCGGCGTGTTTATGGCCCTGCAGTTTACGCAAAGCGATGCTACGGTCGAAATTGTTATCGTGCTGCGCTGGTAAACACATGCGCCACGATTATCCAGAGCGTATTCCGGGGTTATCGAGTGCGGCGTGCCACCAGAATTCCCTTACAGCAACATCTACGGCAATGTGTAGTGCAACGTGCGAGAGAAAAAGTGGAATCACTACGACGGATTCAAAATGAAGCGGCAAGGGTAATTCAATGCGCCTACCGTAGTTATTCAGCTCGGAGGGTTGCAAATGAACTGAGAACGCTACGGGAAAGGGAGCGTTTGCTGCGGCGAAATCGTGTATACCCGTCGTTTCGGTTGGAGGAACAGGTGTACTGACCACGATGTACCAAAGATGTGAATTTTGCTCAATATAAACAGTTGATGGAATCCGCATGTTTCCGCTTATATATATATTTCTGTGTTCAGTAATACTGCAGTTGTTGTGGAAGGAAATATATACTCTTCTGGGAGTTTCACACCCATTTGGGCGGGTAAATCAAGATGATGCCTTTTTATTTGTTTATTTTACCCTAGCCCTTTTTTTTTTTCTGAGGAAGAGATTCTGTGTGTGTGGGGAGGGAAGTCCCTACAAAGCACGGAATGGGGTTCACGCACTCTTCTAGGGAATATGGGCATAAGCGATGTGTGAAATGCCTTCGATCCGGTTCAATGCTACAGCCAGTTACTCCATGTGTTAACTGTCAGCAGTACTTGTGTGTACATTGCTCCAAACCTCTTTTGCCCGAGGCATGCACGTTCAACTGGTCTTTCTGGTTTGGTGCAATACCAAATCCACGCGCGTCGCGGTGTTGTTTTTCATGTAGAAGTCCTCTTCTTTCACTGGATGACAGTATTTTGTGTTATATTATGCTCTTTCTCACATACAAAAATCAGGATTATCTTCTTCGGGTATGTACACGGTTCCATAGTGTCTTGTTTCTCCCGTATGAATATGTCAAGAAACTTGAGGAGAAATACCTTTGGAAAGATCCGGACGACATCCTTTATGCAAGTCGAAGGAGTATTATATTACGCGGCATGGATCGTCTGACAAATGCGACATATGCACTGAAATTAATTCCCAAGTTTCGAATGCTTTCACGACGATTATGTCAAAGGCTACAACAAGGCATTGAAATTCGCATTGCGGCGTCGGCATTTCCAGCGTCGTTTGCGTCATTTCATAACGTTTTTCATACTCGTGATTTTATTGTGATTGTACTGGAACTGTTGTCTCCGGACAAGTATCAGTCCCTGTCTGCTCTTATCCATAGCGTTACTCTGACGGAGGCTGAATGCCGATCCATCATTGCACGCGTGTTGGAAGGGGTGCGTTGCCTTCACGACGAACTTCACGTGGTGCACCGCGATCTGTCACTTGACGCAATATACGTTGCCCGTGACAATTTTGAGGATATTCGTCTGCTTCATTTTCACAATGCAAGGTTTTTGAAACCATCCCCTCGTTCTTCCTATTTACATGAGATTTGGAAGCAGCAACAGCAGCAGCAGCAAAAACAGCAACAGTATCACAAGCAACCGCTGCCTTTTTTGTATCATTCTGCGAGTCCCGAAGTAGATGATGGGGATACTGCTGTCGCACTGTCACCCCAAGTGAGGCAACTCTCGAAGCCACCACCACTTTTTATCCCTGTGGATGTTGGCTTGCTACGTAAAGCGTGGTTTTACTCCAAGGTCGCGCGTGAACGCGAAGCTCAGCTGCGAGAGGCTGCCGTACGTTCTCAAGGGTTTTTTCACTCTAGATTTGAAACGCTGCGTCATCCCGGTTTTTTTTCCTGCAAGAGTACAAACCCTGGCGTAGCACCGAGTGGGATGGCAGATGAAATTTCAGCAACTGCATCCGGTTCGCCATTGCACTCACCACGGAGTGGGATGACTGTGGAGCCTTTAGGCATCCAAGGGAGCAATGCTTCCGGGGCCAATAATAATAATGGTGATGACGACTTTGTGGTTGTGGCCACACCACGAGCTGCCGTTGGGTACTGTGCACCGGAGCTTAGCGCGAGTCTGTGTGCACGTTCGCTTGTTCCCACTCTAAATATTCGTGCGGGCGATGTGAAAAAATGGGACGTTTTTGCGATAGGAGGCATTTTTTATCAGCTTCTTGCATCTTCTACGGGCTATTTTTCTGATCCCCATTATTTTATGGACTGGAACAAAGTCACTGCCACCATTACTTCTGAAAGTCTTGTTTTGTTGCTCCTTTTGATGCATATGGAACCCAACAATCGCATTACATGTAAAGAGGCTCTTCAGATCATGTGCGAGCAATTTAGAGTTTATGTTGCGGCCGGTGCATGATTGTTCGCAGAGCAGTTTTTTTTTTTCACACATGCGCAATTCCATTTATATAGAGTTTTCTTTGGTGCATTTTCAGTGAACACACAACAATTATTTTTATCTGTGTTTATTGTTGACTGCTGTTGTTGTTATTGCTGGTCCTGTTGGCTTTCTTTTGTGTTTTTTCTTTATTCCTTTTTTGTACGTGCGTAAAAATTTTTGGTTCCCATGTCACCTTTTCTTCTCTCCTGAAACCAACAACGGAGGGAAATAAATGCTTTTGGAGACTGGAGGAGTGGCTTGGTAAATATCCCTCATATTTTTTTATGTTCTTATGCTTTCGTTTATTTTACTTTATTTATTTTTTGTATAGAAGGGAACACCAACGAAGGCTGATATATATTATATATATATATATATATATATATCTTATTCGATGGGAACCTCAAGTTCAACGCTTGAAGTGGGAAAGGCAATACGATTGCTGCTTGTGGATACACCAGTGGACGATGGCATCTTTAATTTATTGCTGAATACCGCTCTTTCCAAAAGTGAGCTTGAGCGTGCCCTCCCGTTTTCTACGTTAAGGGTGATGCGGCACTATTATACGAGGAACTTTGCATTATTACTTTTTAAATGCATTGAGGTTGTCTCGCAGATTCGAAATGCTTCGCTCGAATCAGCAAGTGACGTGCAATCTGCGTCGCAGGGGCTCCAGAATGCGCTTTGTTTGATGAGAAGAATAATTCCCATCGCAATGGAGGGCGGAGACACACCGTGCGCTGCGGAGGAACCAGAGAAAAGAGGCGCACCCGCATCCAACCCGCCTGTGGAGGGGGCAAACCTCCCTGCAGGGGAGGCAAAAGATGAAAAAAAGCGAACACTTTTTACTGCCACATTTGTACGGTCGTTTTTTGAGGAAAACCTTGCATGCAACGATGCGCAGCCGGAACAGATGCTTCCTTTTCTCCCTGGCCAGAACACAACGCTCAGCAAATTTGTGGGGCGGCTACTAGTGGACTGTTGTTTCATTCGTGGTTTGACGTTGGCCGCATCATCTTTGCCCGCAAAGGAATCTGAGAGCCACCCCTGCGTTGATGAGTCTCTCCTGTGGTACCCGGGCGTGGGTGGAAAGCAGGTAGAAGGTACTTCTACACAGCCGATGAACGGCACGATGCATGCTCTTCGGCAAGAACTTCTCTACACGCTCACTGCACTTCTGTCATATCCATTGTTTTCTCCGCCTGGTACGAGAGATACTCTTTTTTCGGAACCATTACTCAATGTCGATGAGAACCCGCTTCTGCCTACACTAGTAGCATCCACATTGAATGCCATTTTGGCATATAAACCATTTGGTTCCATTCCATACACAAGCCATTGGGTTGGGCCAGAGGAGATGGTGGTTTTGATGTCTGCACGGTTTTTAAGTGCCTTGATATGCTACCCGGGAGCCCTGCTTGATGGTTCAACGCAAACGCGACACACAAAGAGTCCTGAGGAGAGCGATAAGAATGAACCAAAAGAAAATGTGGAAGCAAAAGACAGAGAGGACGGGACGACAACAGAGCAGCTCAACTCGCCGCCTCTACGGATAGTTCATAGTGCAAGAGACCTTATTAGTGCAATTACGCCGGAAGAGGCTAAATACGTCATAGAGCGTCTAAAAAACACCATCGGCCTGAAAGTATATTCAAATCGAACAGTTCTGCCGGATTCACAGCGTTGTTTCATAACTCAGGACGAGTTTATGATGCTGCTTTGGAGGCTAATTGAACTCTCTCCAGAGTGTCAATTGGCTTTTGCACAGCAGCCGGCAGCATTGAATTATATTGTGCCTTTTGTAGATTATGCTCTTAATGCCAAGCGGGACCCAAAATACTTTCCTCACCTTCAGCTTGTATTGTTTCTTTTGCTGCGACTCTCTGAGACGCGGGCATTTTGTTTGCAATGTAACGCGTTGTTCCACGAACGTATTCCATTTGAATTTGAGTCCTTTGTAGGGACATACAATGATCTACTCATTATCATGTTGTGCTCGTTTATATTATTGCGCCATGAACTGATACGTCCCCTTCATGTGACCTGTAGCGCAATCATATCGAACATTGCTCCATTTATGATAAAAATTAGTCCTGTCTCGTCAGAGAAGCTGGGACTTGTATTTACTTCCGTGTCCACTAGGTATCTTGCGTACAAAGCCCTTTTTGCATCCAATGAAGTCATTCTCGATGACGCAGAGATTAAAGCTGAACAGGTTGTGCTACTTAATATTGTAGAAGCCGTTGCTGGCGTATTGCAGTACCATGAGGGGGCTGCAGCAACTCTCCTAGCTGCCTTTATAAAGCACAAGAGTTTGGTGGGCGAGGTTTCAGATATATTTCTGGCGGAGGGCTCTAACGCCTTTCGTGTGCGCCTTACCTCTCCATTCCTTATAGGTACAGTCAGGGATGCGATCACCGCCGTTGAAGGGGCGGTAGCTGCTGCAGAAGAAGCCGGTATAATGGACATAGTATCAGTGATATGCAAAACGTCTCTTGTGGGTGCTTTGCCAACCCCACACCGCATTATTGTCAGGCGTCTTTACTCTAATTCGTCGATGGAACAATGGGCAATGGCGACAACCTGGTCGTCACTGTACATGCACACTCCTCCTGGAACCTTCGGAGGGAGTAAATCCATCAAGATGCTTCGCTTTTTTTAGACCAAGTTGTTTTACCCAATTTTTTATCGTGTTTTTTTTTCACTCTTTTTCACTGTGTGCGTTGCTGTTTGGGGCTATGGTGGGAGATGCCTCACTGACTAGGATGGGGCTGATGCCTCGACCTATTTTTGCAGCCAGCAGCAGCCTTTTAGGATCTTTTCATTGAATGGACTTCCCTTACCCCTTTTCCCATTTTCTTCATCCGTCTCGTTCTGTGGGTTCATTGGCCGCTGTGCTTTACAACATGATAATAATAATAATAATAATAATAATAAAAGCACATTGCTTTTTTTTTTTTTTTGAGTTTGATTTTGCTACACACAAAACCAGCACTGCCAGAAAAAAGAAACCCTTGAGGCATCTTGCCTCTTAGCACTACGTACGCCAATGTCTTGCTGCAGGTCCCTCAACGCTCCGGATGCTCTCACGTGTCAAGTGTGTTTGGACTCTTTTCAGAATCCAACGCAGTTGTTTATTTGCGGCCACATATTCTGTGAGGCTTGTGTTCAAGGGGCATCCACCTGCCCCACATGTCGTGGTCGCATTGAGTACTCCAAGCCAGCCCCAGATTCTGTCTTGCAGGCTGTGCTGCTTCTTCCTGTGAGTTGTGGCAGCTGCGGATGGCAGGGGACAAGAAAACAGTCTCAGGCACACCGATGCGGGATAAAAGATACCCATAGCATCTACAATAAATACCCACATCTTTCTGATGAAGAATTATACAAAAGGGCAACAAGTGTTACCGGAAGCTCTGTCTTTCACCAGCCTTCTCAGGTCCATGGAATCATGCTCTCTAGTCACACACCTGAGGCTCAACAGTAGTGCCTCATTAAGCCGCGCGCGATGGATCCAAAAAGGAAAAGATTGAAAAAAAAAGGCAATGCTATACACCTCTTCAAATATATATATAAATATATAAATCAGGTAAGCACGAAGTTTATTTTTTTTTTTCGGCACGGCGTGAATCTGTTCAGATCCCTTTTTTTCAGTTTCTGACACAAACACCTTCCGTTACTTGGGGGTTTTCAACACACACACACACACAAAAAGGTGAATTTTGTGAGAAGAGAGAGGAAGAAAGAGCTGGGTGTGCAGAATTCTGAAGTATTACCTGGAGCCCAGGATGTTTTCCCCTTGTTTTGTTCCTCTCTCTTTCTCTTTCATAAGGTTGTAGATTGGGTGATATTTCTTCTTTCCCAAAGAGGACGGTTGCCGTCTGTGAATTCGCTTATGCCTCCTTTGATCCTGGCCACGGAGTGCAATGAGGAGCTGCGCTGTGCCCTTTGCCTAGACTCTTGGAAGGATCCGGTAGAGCTGGTTCCATGTGGGCATATTTTTTGCGCAGTGTGCGTCAGGGGCATGAATACGTGTCCCATTTGTCGTCAGTCTGTGGCCAACAGCAAAAGGCCGAACCGCACCCTTGTGAACCTTGCGCTGGCAGTGCCTGTCAAGTGTGCCTCGTGCAGTTGGACCGGGACGCGTGAACAGGGCAACTCTCACACATGCCGCACGGACACAAAAATGGCTTCGGTGCCCTCGGCCTTGGCACCAGGCCCAAAGTATGCCTTTGTGGAGCCGACTAGCCAGGAGCCTTGGCATCAGTTTGGCCTGTCGCGTGAAGAGTATGACCAGATTATGGCGTTGTTTGTCTTTTTTGACAACGACGAAAGCGGTGGACTGGACCGTGCTGAGGTTGGGCGTCTCGCACGGTGGCTCAACTTTGCCCGCACCGACCATGACATTGATCGCATGTTTTTCCTAATGGATACAGATGGCAGCGGCACGCTTTCCCTTAATGAATTTCTTACTTGGTTGTCGCATAACCGGCCGGATCCCAACGCTCTTTATGGGCTTTCGCAATCAGAGTACAACACCATCATGATGCAGTTCCGCTTGTACGACACTGACCAGAATGGCCTGCTGAGCATCGATGAGTTTGCGCGACTTGCTGTGAGATTAGGGGATGTGAATAATATTGACTCTGGGAGGCGATTATTCCGATGCATTGACACGGATGGCAACGGTGTAGTTGACTTGCATGAGTTTTTAACTTACCGTGTTCGCACGAGGCGAAAGTAGTTGAGAGTGTGTTTGGGTGACCTTGAATAGGATCAATCAGGGACTGACCAGTTGGAGCGTCAGCAATGCGAAGTGCAGCGGCCGAGAGAAATGATTATTTGTGGCGGGCGGGCTTTTTTTTTTTTTGTGTGTGTGTGTGTGTCTATATGTTTGGTTGGTTTTCCTGCTTGTGAATTTATGACTTTGGATTTGCGTTATTTATTTTTTATGCTAACATGTTTCTCCACTCCAATTCAGCAGTGGGTGACTCTTTTGGAATTGGCTGAGTTGTCGATGTATTCCATGCGATGAGGATGTTGTGCATTTCTCGGCCTTTCCCCGTGGCTTTCCTTTTTTTCTTCTCTTTTCATTGGCAACATGCACTGCCGTGGAAAATGAAGGGGCGTGGTGGTGGGCGAAATTTTTTGAATGAGACGCATTAAGCGTCTTTCTGATAACGTTGTCAACCGTATTGCTGCTGGAGAGGTGGTGCAGAGGCCGAGTGCGGCGCTGAAGGAACTGCTGGAAAACGCTTTAGACGCCGGAAGCACGTTCATCCAGGTTCTTGTGCGTGATGGTGGGCTGGGGCTGTTGCAGGTGACAGACGATGGCCACGGCATTCATCGCGATGACCTGCCGTTGTTGTGTGAGCGTTACGCCACCAGTAAACTGAGGTCCTTTGAGGATTTGAGCCGCATCACGTCCTTTGGGTTTCGCGGCGAGGCGCTAAGCTCCATCTCTTATGTCTCCAGGGTGACAGTGACGACAATGCGTCGAGTTGACAAGGATGAAGCATCATCTGGAACGCTTGCGTGGCGCTGCCAGTACTTGGACGGGGCGATGCAGGGCGAGCCAACGCCGTGCGCTGGGAACCCCGGCACAAGCATCCGCGTTGAGAAGATGTTTTACAATTCAGCCGTGCGTCGTCGGGCGCTTAACCGCCCTTCAGAGGAGTACAGCCGCATTGTGGCGTTGATCTCACGATACGCCTTGGCTTTTCCGCATGTCGGGTTCTCGTGTCGCCGGGAAGAGGGAAGCGGGGGGAAGGCGGAGGTTTTTTTTCCGAAGGACTCCAGCTCTCTGGCAAACATTCGTCTTTTTCATGGCCCGGCGATCGCCTCGCACTTACATGAGCTGAAATGCGTCGAAGCTGGCGCGGGCGGCGGCTCTCCGGAGACTGTTTTGGCGAAAGGAGGGGAAGCAGGAGAGGACTGTTTTCTTATCACCGGTTACACCAGTGGCATGGCGCTTCTTAACCGCAACCCGTACCTTTGCATATTTGTTAACAACCGGCTGGTGGAGAGTGCTGTCATCAAGAGAGCAATAGACACCGTTTACAGCGGCATCCTGACGGGTGGCAACCGCCCTTTCACAGTGCTTTTTATTACCATACCCCCTGACCGCGTAGATGTGAACATTCATCCCACGAAGCATGAGGTCTGCCTGCTTGATGAAGAAATCATTGTTGCACAGTTGTCGGAAAGTGTCCGTCTTGCCGTGATGGAATCTGCTGCCCGTCGTCAACTGGACACACGACACATTCTCTCCAAGGCGGCTGCATTGGCAGGTGACAGGGGAGCGCATGTATCGCAGCCTTCACCATTACCGTCATCGATCGTTGTTGCTGGGATAGCACCAGCGCCTTGTACCGTCGTGCGCGTGGAACCGCAGCGTGGAGCACTTGACGCATATTGCCGACGTATGCCGATTTCGAAAAAAGAGGAGGCAGGCGAGGTATCATCGGAAAATGCCGTCGAAAAGCAGCGGCCCGAGACCTGCAGCCACCCAGATCCCTTGACTGCGGTGAAATCGGAAGAAACAATAATTCAAGAGGAACAACATGCTGCGGGAACGTCAATTGTCTGCACGGCATCCAATGAAGACGTTACTGCATCTCTCATCACATCAATTATGAAATTCGGTTCCACGGATGCTGCTGACAGAGACGAGGGCGAGGCTAAAAAGAGGCTGAAGGAAGAAGAGAGAGAGGAAGGGGAAGAAGAGGAGGAGGAATTGGGTTACGTTATGCAGCAATTCAAACGTCAGCGGAAAGAGATCCAGCGGGCGGCTGGCATTGTGACGACGGCAGAAGCAGCCGAAGAGGAAAAAGAGGGTGCGGAGGCTGTGTACGCATCAGCCGCATCGTCTGCATGCGAAGACGCGGTAGAGCCGGTGCCTGATGAACGTGGGGATTTGCTTCTTACGAGTGTGTCAACGATTGTTTCACAAATTCGTCAGACCACTTCTCCCACTGTCCAGTCGCTTTTTGAGAAACTGGTGTATGTGGGCGTGATAAACGGCCACATGTTTTTGGCGCAATCTGGAACAACACTCTATGCCGTAGACACGCTGCGCCTGGTTCGGCTTGTGGTGTATCAACGCATCTTCATGCGGTGGTCGATAGCGTCGCTACCAGCACCGCCTCAAATGCTGCTGCAGGTGCCTGTGAGGGTGACTGACCTTTTGTGGTTTGCCCTCCAGCACGATGTTCCTCCCCAAACGGACGTTTCTTTGGCCGAGAGCACACAACGCACCGTCCGCCGAATGGATAGATGCCTCCGCCAGTGGCGGTGCATGTTACTGGAGTACTTTTCCATTGAGATCACGCATGACGGTTACCTCTTGGCGCTACCGTTTGGGCTGAATTCCTCTTGGCCGCCTTCACCGCGTGTTGTGCCGCTTTTTATTTGGCGACTGGCAGCAGAGGTTCCGTACAGGGAGGATGAAGCGGCCTGCTTCACTGCCATTGCTCGTCACATTGCCGACACATTGTACGGCCTGCGCCTGCACGACGCATGGGTGGAGCCGCGTGTGTCCCCGTCGCCGGGTGTAGAGCCTCCGGAGGGCGGCAGTGTGCCGTCTCTTTCTGACGCCATTCGTTTTGCGCTTTTACCGTGTGTGACAAGCTTGAAGTTGTTTGTTCCGCCAGCGGATGCACTGATTGATGGAACGATCCAGACAGTCGTGTCGGTGGAGGAGCTCTACAAGGTGTTCGAGCGCTGTTAGCGACACAAAAAGAAGGAGTGGAGTCGCTCTCAGTCGCGCTGTCTTCTTTTGCCGTGGCTTTTTTATTTATGCTTTCTCAATGCCTCCCCGCCCTTTTTTTTTTTTTTGCACAGTATCTGCTCATTGCCCGTCACACACGCACGCATTTTGTGCGGCGATTCTGTGGCTGCGTTGGGCTGCTGTGAGAAAAAGAGCAGAGCCGTGTCCTTTCCATTAAATGTACTCGTGTTTTTTTTTTGTCTCTTTGCCGCAGGGCGGAGTATTGGTCTTCGTCACGACTCACTGCATGGGTTCATGCACCTTTCTCCTTCTTATTTATGTTTGCAGGGTGCAGAACGCAAAGAGGGGGTATAGAAGAGAAGGCGGCAGTGAAGAAGTGTGGGACACAAAGGGACGTGGAGTAGGGGAAAAGGGCCGCCACGCGCCAGGTAGAAGAGAACAACACAAATAACAGATTACAGCAACAAACAAACAAAAACTTTTTTTTTTTGCGTGTGTGTGTGTGTGTGTTTGAGTTTTACATGTATGCTGACGACACAGGGGGCGAGACCCCTCTTGAAGATTTTTCCGATTTCCCTGTCGAGCGCTCTGGAGTGTTTTCTCCCCTAAACAAGATGCATTTGCCAATCTCACGGCGCCGCATGGTCTTACCTGTAGTTCACATCCGCACAAGACCCATACTCCCATACCTGGGGGAGGGGAAAAACCAGCGCCATGTGTGGTGTCTTGACCACCAGAAAATTGTGGTGCGTTCCAATAAATTGGTACCGAGTCGTTGCCGCACCGCATCGCCGCTGAAAAGCAACGGTACTCCCAGGAGTGCGCCAACGTCTCCGTTCGTGTCGTCACCGCCGCGTCAACATTCTCTCTCTGGGTGGTTGAGTGAGTCGCTGCCACCCAAGATGCTATTCGCTAGGAAAACGCCACGGAAACATCACAGTGAGAGCTCGCGTTCTCGCGGCACGACGGCTTCCGCCACAAAGATTGGAAATAAAACTTTTGCGTCAGCCACGCCGGAGGTCACACCACTCAATAATTCCGGGGTCATTAGGCGAGAGGAACACTTTAACTTTGACTTTGTTCACGGGGAGGACGCGACTCAGGAGGAACTCTTTGAGGAGAGCGTGCTGGATTTTGTTGATATGGCACTTTTGGCGCAAAGCGTTGCCATTGTTTGTTACGGCCCCACAGGGAGTGGCAAGACATACAGCATGATGGGCTCCACACCCGGCCAATCGCTGAAGAAGATAGGCAAGGTTGTGCCGGCAGTGGATGGTTTACTCTTGTTGGAGAATCGACCGATTTTTGATAGTAAAAACAGGGGCAAAGTCGTCCCTCTCGCGGAGCGGTTATCGAACAGCCAAAGAAGTAATCTCACATCAACGGGCACTGCTTTGTCGGACACAGCCGCGCTGGTGTCCACGACAGCGTCAACAGCAATACCGGTGAGGGAAACCTTAACACCGGCGGTCAAAATAGAGGAAGAGCAACAGCAGCCGCACCGCCAACAGCAGCAGCAGAGAAATTTTATCAGCCCAAGACGCGGGGCAGATGCTAACGACATGGAGGGAAGTTCATTGTCTTCGGGTCTGTCCCAGTTTGATTTGGGATTTTCAACTTACATGGATGCCTTTGGAGGTACCAGGAACGAGATGAGTTTGACTGGTATTAGTAGTGGTCTGACGGAATCGATGACCGTGCCAGATGAAGGGAATGAAACAATGGGCTTGTTGCCACGCATCGTACTCATTTTGCTGGAACGCCGCGGGGAACGAGTGGTGCTTGGCCAGAATGAACCTTCAGTCAAGGCAACACCCGGTAACCGGTCTGGTAACGGAAAGGAAAAAAGTCAAGAAACGCAGAAGCAGCGCCATAATGTCTCCTTGACGCTGAAAGAGCTTACACTTTACGGGGTTGAGTTGTACATGGATGAGTTCTATGATTTGTTGGATCCCGCTAAACGGGCGATCCCAAATATCAGTGACATTGGCGGTCTTGATGCGTTCTGCCAGAGGTTGAACATCCCTAATTCCTTAGCAGTGAGTAGCAGTTGTGGTGGGAAAAGGGCGAGTGGAGGTGGCACTGGCAGCACTTCGTTTCGTGGCGGTGGTGTGCGAGTGTCGTCTGTGGAGGACTTCCGTCGCTGCTACAAGTTGGCGACACGAAATCGGGTGATGAAGGGCCATCAGCGCAACGACAGGAGCTCCCGTTCCCATGCCGTATTTATTCTGCAACTGCAGTTTGACCTGGCGGACTCACAGAACGCGGGCAGTAACGCGGTGACGCAGAGCATCTACTCATACGTGGCGATGGTCGACCTCGCAGGGTCCGAGCGTGTGAAGGAAACAAAGGTGGAGGGAGTCGCGCTCCGCGAGGCAAAATACATCAACAAATCCCTTTCCGCCTTCTCGGCCGTCCTCTTGGCGTTGTATCAGCGATCAAGTCACATTCCGTATCGGGATTCAAAGCTCACCCGTTTACTGCGGCCATGTTTAGAATTAGGACGTGTGTTGGTCCTCGTGCATGTAGCGCCGTGCTCTGCAGAGGAAACGATAAGTAGCCTCAAGTTTGCCGAGCAAGCACGTTACACAAATGTACAAAGTCACAGTTTATTAAATGCAGCTACAGAAGTTGTGGCATTGTTCGACGACATGACGGACCCTCATGCGGAGGAGCTCATGGAGACATACCACCGGACTGAAGTGGAGTACGCCCAACTGTGTGCCGAGGTGCGGCTTGCGCATCTCAGTCGTGAAACTCCGGACGGTTCACTGACATTTGCAGAAAGCCCTGGCGAAAATTCTTTCACACTTCAGGAATTGGCACAAAACAAAAAACGCGATTACGTCATCGGAACTCTTGTCAAGAGACACATGCATCGCTACAAGGCGTTGGAGGAAAAACGGCTTCAGGAATCTGTTGCCGAAATTGAGAGGGAGTGGGCTTTCTACGTTGAGAATGTGAAACGCAGTAGGAAGCAGGATATGGAGAATTTGAAGTTTTCCATTGAGAAGCTGCGGTCCGCCAATGCACGGCTTGCGGAGGAAAACAGTAAACCGGTGCTGCGTGACGACCACGTTATGGCCATCCAGCAACGCCTAAAGGAGCTTTCAACAGAGATCAACAACTATGCGAGGGAGAAGTTGTTGCTCATGGAGGGTATGCGGGCCATTCGCCAGCGTCTTGCCCTGCAAACAGACCTGGAACGTTGCCTGGATCAGCAATTGCGAGAGTTTCAACAGGTTGCGGCGGGGGGAGGTGACAACGGTGCCAGGCTGCCTGTCGACAGCATCGTGGATGAGGAGCTTGGGGAGATCTACCACCAGCAGCTTCTTCTTTCGAGGGAGATGTCACTTTTACGAAGGGAATCCACTTGTTTTGTGCGTGGCGACAGGATATGGGAGGGAATATGGGCCCGTGTTATGCGACAGGAATTGCTGTTGGCCGTCAGCATCGACATGGAAATGATGGAAGGCATTTTGTTGCGTCCCCAGTCCCTTCGTTGGGTTCTCGAAGCAAACGGCATGACGCCAGACGCTGCGAGGGACGTTGTGTTTCCCACGTCTTCGGTCGCCAGAAACGTCAAGATTTTGTTGGACACCTTGGAAACGTTAAAGAAGCAGTCTGCAAGCAATCCGTACGGGTCTGGTGAGAGCGACGCGAGGGATCCTCCTCTTCCTCACGTCCCACTTCTTATGTCGAACGGTGATGAGGTCAGACCTGTGCCGACGCTCATTGGCCGCTACGGAGATGAGGCAAAATTGCAGGAGGCAGCCGTTAGGAAACTTGTTGAGGAGGGCATCTTTTGTGAGGCGACATTTTTCTCCATGGGCGTGGAGGAGCTGGTGCGGCGGCGATTGCCGGCCACGGGATTAATGCAGCAGACGAATTACAAGGTGCACTGGGGCTGTTTACGCCTCGTTCACCCGCCCAAAGACACCTCGTCCTACAGTTTGGAGCTCTTCCAGCGAACGTACAGTGGAAGTGATAAAGTGCGGGATCGAAGAGTCATTTCCATCCCGCTGAGTGAACCCCAACTGCGTATCAAATTGCATGTCATCGAGGCGGAGGGTATTGTTCACACATCGCCGTGGGACGACGGGTCCGTCGCTACGGAGGCCGCTCTCCCACTGATTGCACTGGAGCTGCAAGGTGTACACCCTGTCACCAACACTGGCGCGCAGCAATACCAAGAGAGAGAAAAAGACGTAAAATCGAGGGGACACACGCACTACATTGCTCCATGTGCCACTGACACAGGTGGTGCACACAACGGCAACGGACTCCTGGCTAATGGGGCTGAAAGCAGTTCCGCACGTGATTTTTTACTTTCCAAGCGCTTGGATTGTGGCGGGGAGTTATTGCTTCCCTCCGGTTGTATGGCTGCATGCGAAGAGGGGAGCGGGTTTTTCCTGTTTCATTTCCCAGAACGGATTGTCGCGAGAAAAACTCGCACAGAGGCGGTTGAATGCATTGTGGCCGCTCTTTCAGGACTGACGCTGCCGTTTTTCCCAAGCGCGTCACGGTGCCCCTCGTCAAGCAGCATGAACGCAGATACATCGATTGGTGACATAAGTGTGGTGACGTATCAACACGTGCCATATCTTCTGCTTAGCAGTAACGGTGGTCCGCTGCGTGGTGGCGATGCAAAGGGTTTGCCGGTGCTCCGCAGAGTTGGGGTGCAGTCGCTCGGTTATTTTAGCGCCACTCAAATTTGCTTCTACTTTCAAAAAGAGGATAGTAGAAGGATGACTGCGGACGGCGACGCCTTGTCGCGTTTCCCGCGTTCTCCCCTTGGCCGTGTTGCCATGCCACTTTCCACTGCCTGCGCCATGTTGGGTCGCCTTGGCGCGTTGACCCCATTTTCCGGTAGTGGTGTTGGCAGCAGCAGCAATGGTCATGCTCATATCGGCAGCAACAATGCAGGGGCCGCGCAGAGTGTGGACGAGACGGAGTCCATGATGTGGCGCATGCAGCAACTGTATGCGTTTCGTAGGAAGACTCGTGCGAGGGTGCGGCAGCAGATCTTTGACGCGGAGGACATTAAGGCAGAACTTCTCTACAGTTATTCCGATAGTGAATTCATGCGCGGTTCATATATTAAGGATGTTCTGAAGGAAGCTCGAGAGTTGATTGACTTGCAGCAGCCCCAAACCAGCGCTGCTCTCGCCCTGCGTGGAATGATTCGTGCAACACCTGGCATATGTCGTGAATTGTGTGGGGCCGTCGTTCCGTGGACTCTTTGGCATTGGGCACACCGGTGGAAGGCGTTGCAGTTGACCCACAGCCACCAGCAGGCTTTGGCAGACGCGTATGACATGGAGGATGACGAGGACAGCATGGACGGCTCAGAGGGCGCTGGCCGTCTCTCCATGATGGCCTCGTCTGGCACCCCAAGGGACGACGGTGGGCAGGCATTCATTGTCTTCGAGGAGTTGCCATGCTTCCTGGCGTGCATGGAATAGACAGGGATGATGCGCACAAGCAGTACACAAAGTACACACACGCAAAAAAGCAAAGACAAAAAATACAAGGTTTATATTTGTGTGTGTGTGCCTGTTGCGTGCGAGCGAGTGCAGTACTCTACCTGCAGCGTTTGGGCACGATGTATCATTTTCAAATTTTTTTCTTTTTTTTTCGTCCGCGGGTTTTTTTTTGCCTGTCGTAAAAAAAAAAAAAAATAATAATTATTTACTGCGCTTCCTTCTTTTTTTCTTTCAACCGCTACCAGTTTGCATGCACACTCCAGTGGCACGGATGACTTTGGGGCGTATATGATGCACACACCAGCCATACAGACATGCCGGGAAGAGAGAGGGGGAAGGAAGAGCGAAAGAGGGAGGGGGAAAAGAATACATATATATATATATATGTATATGTATATGTGTGTGTGCTTGGCTTTTTTGTTTACTTCTTGTGCTTCTCGCTTGCTTTGCTGCCACTCTGCACGGATTGTTGAGACCCGACCTGCCCCGTGCCTGCGGAGAAAGACAGTGAAGGAAAAATTTTAAAAAGGGAAAGTGACACATGGACTCTGACGAAGACCTCCAACTTCCTCCACCGAAGACCCCCATCAACCTGGACGACTCGGATGATGACTTGCCGCCCCCCGCAGCGTTGGCGGTGAAGGGGCCACCGCCTGTAAAACCTGCAGGGCCGGCGCTAACGTCACCGAAGAACAAACCCGTCGCTCTCAATAAAAATGGCGTTTCGAGTCCTCTGATGGGGTCACCACTCAACAACACCGCGGCGCAGAGGGGCGCGCAATATTTGGACCCGCAGCAGCAACAATTGCCCTTCACTAGCGAAACAAGGGCGAGAGTGAATCCTGCCAAGGTGTACAAGGAGGGCTTCCTGTTTAAGCAGCAGCCCAGCTGGCCCTACAGCAACCAGAAGCGGTACTGTGTAATCAAAAACTGTAGGCTGTACTACTTTGACTCCCAGGAGAGCATGAAGGAGGGAAAACCGCAGGGTGTGATTGATCTTACTAGCGCTAAGCTTGTTGACCCCGGGAACGAAGCCAAGCTGCCGTCCAGCTTCGGCATTCACGTGGCGAGCGATCGGCAGGCGGAGGGGGGCGGCAGCGTCAAGAAGGAGCGGACATTTACGTTTTCCGTCATGCACGCACACGAATTGGGCGAGTGGAAGGCGGCCATCCAATCCGTTGTTGGCGACCCAGCGGAGGATGAAAAAGTACACTGGTTTGAGAAGATGGTGCAGGGTGTGTACTAACGACGCCAGCAACACCGCCCGCGGGATAAAAGAAGAAGGAGAAGGGGGGAGCAAACAAATAGCTCAAATAACTTCTTTTTTTTTTTCTTTTCTTCTCGTTTACTCCCACGTGTATATAAGCACACAAAGAAACAAAAACAAAAACAAAAACGGTGCACGTTGTTCTTATCGAAATTATATCAACTACGGTTCAGTAGCGTTATTGCATGACATTAAAAAGAGGAGTATGGGTAGGACCGTGTGGCACTTTTTTTGTCCATTGAATCTCTACACCCAGGTTGAGAAGTATGCTCCTGCTGCATTTTTCTTTTGTTTTTCCCTTTTCAAAAAAAGAAGAGCGAAATTCGAATGTCAATCATGTCAACAATAATAAAAGCGAGGAATGTGACGAACATATATTTTCTTTCTTTTTCCCCTTTTTTTCTTAATTGTTGCCGCTAATACTTCTCTCCTGCAGTGGGGCAGATCAACCCTCGTATGTGGCGCACACCACACCACACGGACGCCAGGCAGATACTTCGTCTTCTGACGTTGGCTGTTTAGTTGGCGGGGGTGACGGCTTAACATGACAGAATCGGACACACTAACACCGAATTGATCAAAAATGAGAGCAGCGCGAGGAACAGGGTTCGAAGAGTGCATAGGAGACCGCGGGAGAGAAATGACTGCAGCTATTCATGTCGTTGCTTCGTGCTCCTGTGGAGGATTCCACCAGCTGTTCGTCCGGATTTGCAGCCTGCGAGTCTCCGCGACGCCTCCTGCAGGACCGTTCAGCGGCAAGAGTTGCCCTCACGTTGTCATCCACGTCGCTGCTGTCCTCCTCGGGGCCTGCGGTGCAACCCCAGCCGCACCGCTCACATGCCCCGGTGCTTGTCCTTTCCTGCGTGGGCAGGGCGGACCGAGGAGCTCGAGCGGAAAGAGATGCTGGCGAGGGTTGCCGTGCCCGCTTCTGGGGTTTACGAAGTCGATGGTCGACGCATTTCCCCTGCCATTCGCCCGCAGCCCCCCCCGCCAATTAGGTCCTATTGGATCTGGCTGCGGTGTGGAGCATAACGTTTTCATGCATTCGGAAAGTGGCCTGCAATGGGGAGTGGCGTTACCTCAACACTGTGCTGTATCCACACGACACTGCGCCGCTGACAATTCGCTGAATTTTATATCGGTGTTTATCTTACGACGCCTTTGTTGGAAGGCTTATTTTGCTTTTTACTTTGTTATTAGTATTTTTTTCCTTACTCCTAGGGTTTGGAAATGGGAATAATAATCATTTTTTTTTTCGCTTCTTTTTTGCATCTTTCTTTCTCTGACCATATCACTAGCACATCCAATAGGCATCCCGTTATGCGGTGCTTCACTCCGCGTTTGAGTGCGGCTGGCAATGGGGTGTGGAGGGGTTTTAGGCAGATGTACGAGGAGTATGCGCTCTGGCGTGATCGCAGGGATGACGAACGGTATACCGCTGTGTCAGAGGAGGGTGAAGAGGGCATCACTCTCAGCAATCGCCGTATATGCGCAAACCCAAATGCCTGCCCACGGAGTGTACTTTTGGTCCCTGCAGAATGCATTGTGGAGGCGCTTCGAAGGGAACGACGTGGTGGTGTCACTGCAGATGCTGTGATGTTTGACTTAACGTGCTGCAGGGGAAGTAGAGGGGAGGCGCGTGACAACATTTTGCGCTTTTTGCAGGCGGAGGAAAAGGGCGAAAAACGGGGTGAAGATATGAGTGGAGGACAGTGCTCACATGACGACGATCGAGGGCGCTACCTGATTCGTGTTAACTCCCCTGAATTTGATTCTGCAAACGGGTTCCTGGACATGGAGCTTGCCGCCGTGCTAGGTGAACGCATTGAAGGTGTTTTGTTGCCGGCGGTGACGGTGAATACATATTCGCTCGTTGAGGAGTACATTCATCCTAGTCACCATCTCTGGGCCTTCTTTGACACACCGCTCTCTGTTGTACAGGCATCTGAAATCTGCCGTCAGGGGCACTACCGGTACGCTGTCATGGGCTCAAGGCGGCTCGCAGAAGATCTTCATTTGCCAATTGGAGGAATCACGTACGGTGATACATATAGAGGCGACAACAATAGTGAGAATGCCACGCCCGCGGCCCTTCTTGGATCGCTTCCGTTGCTGAACAGTAGTCTCCAAGTTTTACTCGCGGCCCGAGCCTTCAACATGAACATTTTGGATGACGCATTTGAGGACGCCTCAGACACAGCTGGATTTTCTCGTGATTTGCACCTCTCTCGTTCGCTTGGCTTTGAAGGCAAGTTAGTCATAAACCCTGCGCAACTTGCTTCATGCCACGCGGCTTTTGCCCCGTCGGCGGAAGAATTGTCGTGGGCGAGGGGAGTGCAGCAGAGAATGGCTCGTCGATACGCCAAGGAGGAGTCTGCGGGCAAACTTGAGGCAGCGCAGTGGCGACGTGCCGCATGTCTTCTTGAGCGGCACAGGGAGGAAGAGCTTCAGGGAGCGGCGCCAACTCAACGGGATGGGGGAGGCGGGGTGGAGTAGAAGAGGAGACATCTTCATGGTGCATGATTCTTTGAGATTATACACACACATATATATATATATTTCTTGTGATATTTCAGTCGCCTTTCTTTCCTCTGTGCAGGGGTCAACTGGTTCAGCGCATCCTACTTCTTCTCTTCTTTTCTTCTTTTTTGTTTTTACTCTCCGTGTGTTTATGTGAGTGTCCACCCGTAGTTTTTTCTTACGCGCCTGCCGAGCGTCATTTTTTAGGCCGGCGTTGGTACCCGACGTCTTTTATTTTTATTTTTATTGGCGTATCTCGCTGCTCCTTTTTCCGTTTTTCTTCATGTCGGAGAACATTGCTGGAGGCGGCGGGCGGCCGGCAGGGGCGATGGTGTGCGGGCATTGCGGTGCACCTTTCAGCAAAGTAACAGCCAAGTTCTGCTCCAGGTGTGGTACGAAGAAAACATCGTCTGCCGGGCGAAAAAAAGCGACGCCTCACGTTATCGGTGGCATGGCACCAGTAAACAGTGGTCCACAAGCCACTGCGACATTGCGGCCAGGAGATACTAGCAACGACAGGGGCAGCGGCGGCAAACACAATAGTTCGGATGTTGATCACAGAACCGACGCATTACTCTCCACTGCATCGACACAGCATCAGTTAGTTTCAACACAGCCCACATTGATGAAGAAAGAAGAGGGCACGCACGAGAGCCTGGACGACGATGGCACAATCCGCGCGACTCCAGAGGAAGAGGAAAAGTATATTTCATGGTCCACACTGGGCCCGGAAGGCATCACCCCGGAGATGCTGCAAACGAGTGATGCAGAGGAGCTCGGATCGTGGCGTCGTGGACTTTTGATTGGCCGTGGGACGTATGGTTCTGTCTATTTGGGTTTGCTTGACGATGGCTCCTTTTACGCTGTAAAGTGTGTTGAAATCGGGGGAAAAACGGGTGTGTTCAGCGTCAATGAGCTTGTTTCTCTTTCGCGGGAGATTAACATGATGCGGCGTCTGCATCACAAGAATCTCTGCACCTTTAGGGGTGTGTTTTACGATTCCCCGAACAACGTCGTTTGTATGTTCATGGAGTACATCGGCGGCGGTTCATTATCCTCTTTAGTGAAGAAATTCAAGCCGCTGCCTCATGCCGTGGTGCGGAGCTGGACCCGACAGCTACTCTCCGGCCTGCTCTACTTGCACACGCAGCGCATTCTCCACCGCGACATCAAGGGCGACAACATCCTTGTCGACACCTCAAGCGATCCCAAGAAGGAGTCTCAAATCAAACTCGTGGACTTTGGTGCTGCTAGACGACTCTCAGATGCCGTGGCGCAGAGTCGGACAGTCATTGGCACCCCGTACTGGATGGCACCGGAGGTGGTAGACGTGACTGGCAGCGGTACTGGATACAGTTATAAGGCTGATGTGTGGTCCGTTGGCTGTACCGTTGCCGAGATGCTGACGGGGAAGCCACCGTGGCCAGTTCAGGTGAATGCACCAGCGGCGATCATGTTGATTGCGCAAGCGGAGGGCGGACCGACAGAGATCCCGGAGGCGGAGGCAACGCCAGGGTGCTTGGATTTTATGCGTAAGTGCTTTGTGCGTGACCCGGGGCAACGTCCAACGGTGGAGGAACTTATGCAGCATCCATGGATTCTTGGGGAGATGGAGTAGGACGCACCACGTGTGGTTTGTTGCTGGCGATCCGTGGCGACTTCGTTGTTTTGAAGGTTTGCTGCCTCTGGCGTTTCTTCGGTTGGTTTTTCTTCTGTAGCTTTCTCTCTATCTCTCTGTCAGTCTCGCTCTCGCTCATCTTTTCCTGCAGAGTCGTTATATTCCCGGCCTGTTTTCTTCCGCCAGTGCTGCGCTACTCCATACGCTGGCCTCACGTACACTTACCTGCTGTTCAGCAGAGGCGGCGGCGGTGAAGCAACTGGAAAGAGAAGGGAGGACGAGAAGAAAATAAACAAACAAACAACAACAGCAGGAACGGACAAACATAATTGAAGATGAAGGAAACATATAAAGTGCAGTTGGAGTTGGTGGGGTGGTGGCCGCGGTGGAATTCTCGATAGAGAAAGAAAAAGAGAGAGGGATAGAGAGAGGAAAATTTGTCTCCACTCCACACCCGTTTTTTATTACCACTTACATATATGTCACATGTATAATATATTTTTTTTTTCTGCTTCTTCATTCTCTTTTGTGTTCTGTGGTGCGTTAGTTGGGGGGGAGGGTTCAAAAATAAAGTGTCTCTGCCTGTTGTTATTTCCATAATCATTCTTTTTGTTTTTTCACTTCTTTTTTTTTTTTTTCTGATGGAGCAACTGCGTCATCAGGCGATACGGATAGGACAGGCAGACAGGAATTTGGACTCTCGCGCCATTCGGCTGTTGTTATTTTCTGAGGGGATAAGTGCCGCTGGGCGGTGTGTTGGTGGCGGTGAAGAGGAGGAATGGCGTGGAGGCCGGCACTGCGAGCAGCAGCAGGAGGAGGAGCGACGACGGCGTCATTTAATTCGCCATCGCCAATTTCACTGCTCGGGCGGGGGGTGGCGGTGCAGCTCTGCCGCCTCACACTCTTCTGCCCACAGCGGTTCAAATCGACATCGACGACGGCGACTACGGGTGGCTGGTCCTACGAGCAGGTGGACACAAGGACGGGACGCACGCCCCTCGACACACTCTACGAAGAGCGTCTGCAGCGCATTCGGGCGGTATTCGAGTCGCCTTTGCCGCCGATGCCAAGAGACGGAAACGTGAGTCCCGACTTTCTGGTCGGCTTTGCTCACTACGAGTACCGGCTGCGCGACCAGTACCGCGCGGTGCTCGCGAGGGCACTTGATCTTCCTGTTGCAGCGGTGCGGCTCTCCGTTGCGTGGAGCGGTCGTTTTGATGTCGCTCGTTTAACCGCGTTCAGAAAGGTGTGCGGTGTGTGCGTGGCGTCGGGGAACACACCACACATGGCGGAGTTAAAGGAAAGAATAAGGCGTGTTGTTCGCGCCATCAATGAACGGCAGTCGGAGTCTTTTTTGGCTTCCCACCTTGTGCAGGCGTCGGGGGCCATAACAGAGGTCGAGTTTGCGGCCACCGAGCGCGACGCCATTGTCGCCGAGCGTGTGCACCGATGGCTCTGTGAACACATCTTAAGGCCACACCTTGTGGTGGTAGTATACGGAGCAAACAACGACGCGAGGGACGGCCCCAACAGCAATGGGGTGCAAAAGAACGGGGAGTTTGCAAGGCAGCGTGCCTTCATTGAGGAGAAGTGGCTGAAGGCATTTTACCACCGTCGCGTGGTGCCCCATGTGTTGTCCTTTTCGCGTCTTAAAGAACTTTTTCAGGATGCGGTGAGGAGAGGGGAGGTGAAGGGCGTTGCGCTCCTGCAGCCGAAAGCCAATCCAGACGAGGAGGCAAGAGATGCAAAAAAAAGTCTGGAGGCGGAGGCGAAGAGTGGCCCCACGGCTTCTGCCACCGCAGCGCCCGCAGAAGAAAGCGGGACCCCCGTGAAGTTGTTGGCTTTGGATGATGAGGCGGCGTGGTACACTCTCCTTCGCAGTGCCGTGTTCCGCCGATGTGACAATCGCGTGGCTTTTCCGCTGCTCTTTATCCACGGTGACTCCGTGGGCGGGGTGGAGGAGATGCGGTACCTGCTGCACAACAGGGAGGCCCTTGACGCGGTGCTCCTGCATCCAAACGATGTGGCATTCAAGAAGAAGTTCATGAGCCGATTCCGCTCCTCCCATTCGCGTTTGCACATGGCGGAGGAAATGTCCGTGTAAAAGGGTATATGCACACGACACATTACATCTTCCGCTGTTTTTCTTTCGCCTTCTTACTGTCTCTTTGCACACGCAAACAGATGCGTCAAGGAGGGCGTGCGTGACTTTCTTTTGTGACTCTGAGTTTTGCCGCGCAAAAGAACTCTTTCAC